TAATTCTGTCCCTTATCTTCATCAATATCTCCTGATTGGCCCACTGATAACTTATCATCACGTGACCTTTAGAGTTCTTCTTTGATTCTGCTTTTGCGTTTTGTGGTATTGGAGATGCTGACTCTTTACCTATTAGGCGGATACCTTGAAAAGATACTTTAACTTATTTAAATCATAAAAATAACGTGTATACATATAGAGGGGTGGGGTGGGGAATATATGTTATTCAAATTCCGCGTAGAGGTTTCAGTAGTGGGAGGAAACCGGAGGACCAGTAGAAAACCAAGGAGGATGGGCAGGCGACCCTATTCCCTGTCACGTACAAGCATGGAATCGACATCACGCCACTTGACACAATGACCAACATTACGATCTTTTATGCACGCGTCCACTCGACACAAACTAGGTTATTTCGGGACTAACATATGGTTTAATTTTATTTCAATAATTTGCATGCGCGTAGGGGTCTAGCAGTGGGAAGAAACCGGAGGACCCGGAGAAAACCCACGAGGTTGGACAGGCGACCCTACTCCTTGTCACGTACTACCGGGGATTCGAAACCACGCCAGTTGACTCAATTGTGAGGGAGAATTACCTACTCTTAAGTAAAACTGTCAAGGGTTTTTATACGATCAAAAACACGTGGACATGCTACCGCTTAGTATGAGGAAATATAAATCTCATTTGAGGAAATACTTGCCCAGTTCCTTATAATATTCTGATTCACGTAGTTTATATCTCATCGTCCATAAAATACCGTAACAGCTGAATTTGGTATCGGCAGCGCCACTTTTGTTTTGAGTTTCAAGAAACTGTATCATTCCTGCTTCCTTAATAATTCGTTCTTGGTTTGTCTCGTCAAAAGCTAGAGCCCAGATTGATTTCAATGCCTCTGGAAGAAAACGTAAAAACAGAAATTGTCACGATCTTGTTTTTTTTATCAAATATAGAATTTTCCACGCTAAAATCAACATTAAAGTTCGTTAATGCTTCTGTCAAATAATTTCAGATAAAACGATTAGTACTTAAGATTAAACAATGGTTCACTAACCCTTTTGTTCTTCCGTATTGGTTGACTTTGCCAATTCTAGAAGCAAGGGGAGGCAACCCTTTTCTACTAGTATTTTCTTGTTACCATCATTTCTAGCTAGTCGAGATATGCCTGTAAAATCGATACAAGAGAAATAAGTTGGATGTTGATGGAGGTACTCTTTCCAACTATGTTCAAACCCACCAATCAAGTAGTAAGTCTTCCCAACTATGTTACCCCCCCCCCCCCCACTAATCATATAGTAGCTCTGTCCAACTATGTTCAAACCCACCCACTATGTAGAAGCCCTGCTCAATTATGTTAATAACCCACCAACTATGTAGTAGCACAACCCGACCACCAGCCTGTAGTAACTCCGCCCCACTATGCTACCAACCCACCACTCACTGGGAACTCTGTCTAACTACATTAAAAACCCACCACTCTGTAGTAAATCTGTCCAACTATGCTACAAACCTACGACTCAGTAGGAACCCTGTCCAGCTACGTTATAACAAACTAGAATAACCGCCATTTCCAGGACCCACGACCTACATGTAACTGCTGACCGGTCCACTCACCTTTAGCTAGTTCCAACACACTCCATTCCATACAATTCCCATCTTTAACCTTTCTAGACGCGCTATATAAAGTACTTCTGAACATTTTTATCAGAAAATCCAAAACTTCCGAATTAGCTTCTACATAAGGACTCTCATCCTCTTTCATAATGTCAGCCATTGCCAAGATAGCCGTCATTCGTATGGTGTCGTTTGTATAGGACAAGAACTTGTGTAAAAGGGGTGTAAATTTCATCACTTGTAACATTGGAATATTGCTGTCTGTCATGGCCACATTATGTATTATTATCAGAACTCGAATTATCAATTTCTGTATATTGTAATCGTTGGTAGCCTGAATAAAAGACCCAAAAGAATAAGAAAAACTAATAATTTTGTAGAGGCATTTAGTAACTAGATAGAGTCATGAATTAAAACAGCTACATATATATTTAAGCGACATTTCGAACCAGATAATAGTTTGGAACTAAATAGAGTACGTATTGATCTATTTATTAGTAACAAAGGAATATGTTGTTCTATTTATTAGTAACAAAGGAATATGTTGTTCTATTTATTAGTAACAGAGAGAGAGATGAGAGAGAGAGAGAAAGAGAGATGGGGGTTAATGTCTACTCGAGTTTGTATTGCGTGGACGTTAAACTCCATTTCTCTCTCTCTCTCTCTCTCTCTCTCTCATCTCTCTATTTACAAGTGACAAAAAAATATATTTTTCTATTTACATGTATCTAGCAAGAAATATATGATTCTTCTAGGATAATTGGGTCATCTATTCGACCCACAAAACTCATGTTTATCTGAGAGTGTGACATAGGAATATATTGTCCTTTTTACATTTACCAAATCAAATCTGGACTACTTGGGTAATCTATTCGACCTACAAAACTCATGTTTATCTTAAAGTATGGAACCGAATGACCTGGAAAAGTTTGGACTTTCTGTTAGAAATAATGACTCTCAACGGATATCTGAAACATTTTTGTTAATCGATAGCTACGGGTTTGAATATTTAATCGATACTAAATCACTTTGCTACTTATGAATCATTCACTACCATCCTTTGCTATTAGTCTATTGACAGTTGCTTGGTGCATAAGACGATGTTGGCCGTGAAAGTTCCCTGGAAATTTCCAGCCTGGTTTCTCGAGGCCTGGAGCGTATGCCAAGGATAGCGTCTAGTTGAAGGAGATGGGACGAATAGACGAGGTCCGGTGTACACATTGGCGTACCCTTAAAGTTGCAATTACATATTTTTAAAATGTATTAAAATAAATCCTTAAAATAGATGGTATCTATAAACAGTCCTATTAATCTTATAATTCACTATTGCCAGTTGAGAAATTGGCAAAAATATCATTTTCAACTTCAAATTCAAACGTTTGAAGATAGCTATTCCATGGGGCGGGGGGGGGGGGGCATAGAAAAACAAGGAAGGTAATTGTGTTTTTATTTCCAGGGGTGAATGATTTATAAGTGTGAGAATGTGAGAATGATACCTATGATCGTATAATAGTGAGTTGACAACCTATTGAGCAAAAGAAGTAGAAATAATCATGTTTTGCTTTCTTAGAAAATATGAAATTCTCGCTTTAAACGAACCATTGACAGCTAGTATTTGGTCAGCGTTGTTATCAGGGCAAAATTTCCCTCACAGCACACTGCGTGACGTACGTGACGTACTCCCATTTCCATTAGCTCAGTAGGTGCAGACACGTAGGATATTAAAACCCATTTTATTTATCTACGGCACCACTATCAATAATTGTTCATCATATTACTGAGCGCCAATGAAAACGCATCACTTAGTTTTTCGTATAACAAATTGATCCTGTAAACATATCTTATTTATTTTGCTTCTTATTGTGAACCATATTCAAATGGGAACACATCAATAACAACACATTTGTACACTTATGGATGTTTAATCTGTAATCAAGGGTACAAAGTCAGAGGGGTCAAAACCAAAAGTACGACACAGATGTCAGTAGCGCGTGTGTCCTCCACGGGCCATCATCACGGTAGGCAACAGCATTAACGCGACCCCTGCAAATGTGTAGGGCGGTCCGGTGATGAAATGTGAAGCCTCCCCACACCATTACACTTCCCCTACCCCATCGATCCGTTTCGAAGACGCAGCAGTCTGCAAGACGTTCCCCAAGACGTCTCGACACACGTTGACGGCCATCAGCGTGATAAAAATGAAAGCGACTCTCATCACTGAAGAGCACACTTTGCCAGTCTACTCTTCTCCATGTCTGGTGTCCTTGAGCCCATATCAAACGCCGCTGACGGTGATGATCCCTGAGGATAGCTCCAACATAAGGTCGTCGTGCACGGAGTCCTACATCTCTTAGACGATGTCTTACGGTGTTGGCACTTACTGGTCCTTGTCTTCCGACGACTGCTGCACCTGTTCGAGTCGCTGGGCGGAATCTGTCACGCAGATGAGTGACCCGGATGTAGCGGTCTTGAGCCTGTGTTGTAACACGTTCTGGACCAGGACGTTGACGGTCACGTGTTGATCCAGTAACTCGAACACGTTCCACCAACCTTACAATAGTGGACTGATGACAATTGAAGTGTCTGGCAATAACACGTGTAGACATACCAGCCCTGGACATTCCCATGGCTTCATTCCGTTGATTTTCAGTAAGTCTCGGCATCTCTAGCTCGATTCCTTCACACGTCCAACAACAAATTACGACAGATTGACGTTTCACAGTTCATGTACTGCACATTAAGTTGAAAACATGCTTTTAAAGGGCTCACACACAATGCTGCACGTGAATATTGGGTTTTTCATGTGAATCTCGTGCAATATTTTTCTTTTGCACACGGGCAGATATTTTTTGTGTTTGGGAGCATTGTGTGAAACAATAGTTCATAGTATTGCATAATATTATACATACAAAACCAACTAGTAATAAAATGGCGCTCAGTATATTTATGAAGTCTATATTACTTACCGTTTTTGAGTTATCGTTCAAAATATCATACAGGAACTTGATATATCCGGGAACATCACAAATTGCTTTGGACAAAACACGAGAATGACCTGACAAATTGACTATCACCAGCAATGCCTTCAGGGTAAAGGAATTGCAAAGCTCTTGAATGCTTTTCGCACTCATGGCTGCTTCACATATAACAGTTACTATATTCCTTTTTTCAAGGATATATTCACAGACGACAGTCCGATGTTTTTTAATCCACTGATCGGAGTGGCTTCTCATACCGTAGAAAAGACTGTTAGTAGCATCTATAAGATCAGCCTGGGCCATCCTGTCCTGTTTATTGCCTTCCAATTTCAATAAATTGGCGCCTGATTCAGTTACGTAGACCTCCATGATACAGCTGTGGGCTTCTTCTGGAGTTTCTAGCTCGTCAACTGGGTTTGGAACAGGATTGGATTGGGCGGGTGCTGCTGGATTTGGGGCTGTGTTATTAGCGGGTCCTCGTGGTAGAGCTGGTGGTGGTCCTGGTAGCACATCATCGGTATCAATAGTCACTGGTGCCGCTGGTTGTCCTGGTAGCACATCATCGTTGTCAATAGCAGCTGGGGCCGCTGTTGGTCCTGGTAGCACATCATCGGTATCAATAGCAGCTGGTACTATGGCATTTCTAACATTCATCTCATGAGAAGGTTTGATGTCGTTGGTAGGTTTGTCATTTGCTGTTTTTTTAGACTCGGGTGTTTTGTTGATGGGAGGAAACACTGGTTTATTGCAGGATGGTGTCGTTGGTTTTGAGTTCGACGGTAAATTAGCTTTAGCCCCAGAGGCCATATTGGTACTGTCAGATAGGTTAGTTCTGTTTACTACAGGAGTGGTAGTATTTGATGCATTAGGCCCGACTGCATTTTCTGGTGATTTGGTAGATTTTTTAATATCGCTTTCATCCGTTATATTGGACATATTTACGTGTTCTAGGTTTGTTTCTGTATTAGTAGTATTACTGGATACAGGGTAATCTGCCCCTGGTGGTAGCTTGGCGACAGCTAGTGTCTGTTCGGTTTATAATCAGGGCTACTTGTTAATAAATACCACACTACCACTGGATGAAAGGTCCAACTTGCTTTCAATAGTAACGTTAATCTGTTTTACATCTGTCTTTGAAGGCGACGATTAAACAACTGAAATATAAACATAGACTTTCACACTATACATGTATATAAAAATTGACTCAAATGTTACATTTAAAAAATATATAACCTTTAGCCTGTAAACCAATAATCATTCGTTTCACGTATTGTTCTCGTAAGAGTGGATTTGTTTTGTTTTTTTCGGGGGTGGGGGGGGGCGGATTTTAGTCAGAGTTTGCAGCTAAAAATATACATGGTGCAAAAATTCTGCAAACATAGATATTGTTGGCCTCCGTGAAACTATTTATTAAATGTAAATTGGGTTATTTTTGACAAACAGGACGTGTTTTACGGATGGGACAAAAATTAATCTTTGATTTCCCATGTCTCGGTTATTTCTAAATGGATCTTCGTCGGGTTTTCATTTGACTTGTGGATTCTTTAGTCGAATCCCACAGAGGTTCTGACTGACGCTTTTCCGAAATTAGAAAGTTCGCTCAATTAGTTCTAGCATCCAAGATTTGCAAAAATTTTATTCAGCATCTTTTCGACATTCAAGAAGGCGTATCTCCGATGGTATTTGAGGAATAAGGAACACATTGATGTCTTCAAAATGGTGTGACGGCTTTCGATAAAACCGGAAATCACCCAGGCATCCGAGTTCTCGCCAAGATATCAAGATATAAACCGAGAACAAGCTTAAAAGCGGTAAGTGGTCATAATCCAGGAGGTTACGGTCCAATGTATGTGGTTTCATCCAAATCCTGGTCAAAATTGATACCTCTAGAGGGTACACAACCTTGGTATTACATGTTTTAACACTATTGGGTAAAGGAGAGTGGCCATTTTGATGGGGCGTTTTGGTCCCATTTTCACAACATTTGAACTCAACTGTAATTACGGTGTAACGGTGATATATATGAACCTTAAGAGTGCCCACAATGCTAAAAACGCGATTTTTCATATAATCAGGGGCCATAATCCAGGACGTTACGGTCTGATATACACAAATGTTGACAGACAGGAACCGAGCTATTTCGGATATATTTTATGTTTCATCAAAATCAGATAAACATTGTGACCTCTAGATAGTCCACACGCTTGGTATTACATAGTTTTACCCATTTGCGTACGGGGAGCGGCCCTTTTGTCGGGCAGTTTCAGTCCAATTTTCACAAAATACAAACTCAACCGTCCTTACGGAGTAACACTGATATAATTATGTGAACGGTTTTTAAAATTGGATAGCAGTTTTGATCTCTAGAGGGACCAAAGGCTAAAAACACGATTTTTTGTACATCAGGATCCATAATCCGGGACGTTACAGCCCAATACGCGCGAATATCGCCAGGAACCGAGACCCTTGCGTTATAAACAATTATTTTAAGTTTCATTAAAATCGGATAAATATTGTGACGTCTAAGGGATCTACAACCTTGATATTACATACGTTTACACTATTTGCACACGTAGAGCGGCCATGTCGCCCGACAGTTTCTGTCCGATTTGTACTCAACCATCATAATGGTGTAGTGGTGATATATGTGAACGGGTTTTAAAATCGGATAAATATGGTGACCTCTAGAATGACAACAAGCTAAAAACAACCAGGGGCCATATTCCAGGAAGTTACAGTTCGATATGCTGGACAGCAACCGAGATCTTTGAGTTATAAACATATATGATAGAAATTGTAACCTCTAGAGTGTTCACGGGCTAAAAACATGATTTGTCGTATAATCAGCGGCCATAATCCATGCAGTTACGACCCGATACAAGCCGAGAGCTTTGGGAGATAAACCTATATTTCAAGTTCCGTAGAATCGGATAAAAATTGTGACCTGTAGACCGTCAACAAACAAATTGTGGACGGACGGACAGGGACGACGACAAATGGTGGTGCTAGCCCCAGATATTATCATTCACAAAAAAATCTTCAAATCCATTTTCAGCCGCCATTCCAATTTTCGAAATTGATTCCAATGTCCACATTGAGTCAACTGGCATGGTTTCGATTCCCCGGTTGTGTAATACTGTAGAGGTTATATCAGTACTCTAACGTTCAGTTATTTAAGTACTGTTTAATATATTCAAGTGGTTAAACAAATGAGTGTTAAATGATATCCTCTTACGATCATGGTGTCACTGCCTCCATTTATCTCGAGGTGTTAAATGTACGTTACGATAAACATACTATAAACATAAGGTTAATGAAACACTTATCCCACGCTTCAGAAAAGTGGACACCCGTCACCCGCTCCTCCTCCTTGGTGCCCATATTAGAAAATCGGTCATTTCGGGACTAACATATGGTTTAAATTTATTTCAATAATTCGCTTGCGCGTAATGGTCTTTAGCAATAGGGGGAAACCGGAGGACCCGGAGAAAACCCACGAGGTTGGACAGGCTTGTCACGTACAACCGTCGATTCGAAACCACGCCAGTTGACTCCATGACAGGCCTTATGATACAGCGCGCAGCGCGCAGCGCGCGCGTGCTACCCATTCGGCCATCCTACCCCCTAGTTGTCGGCAGACAGCGTAAGTTTAGTATGAGTATAGTGATGCTATTAAGGGGACGTAACTTGCGTGCAAAGTTAGAAATTCGTGATTTTTGGCAGTGTAGGGTATTCCATAAGTGAGGGATTCACATAGCCAAGGACATGCAAAATACAGCCTATGAATACTGATTTAAGGTAACACACTTAGTTAAGTGAACAAATTTAAGTATTTTTACGTAAAGGGGCATTATGGGAGATGACAGTTCTCGATATAATAGATAACGTAAATAGAATATGTTTAAATTTCAGTCAAATTGCTTCGCTCTGAACCGAGGTATTAGTTTTTGAATTTTAGACTAGTCTCGATTATCCAGTTTAACGTTTAATTTTTTTTCAAAAAATGTATTCCACACGTACTACACGTACAATGCCCCCCCCCCCACACACACACACCCAACTATAATGTATGACGTATGCTTATCTTCACTATAAGGGTTGGTGCAAGACATTAAACCCCATTTAATTTTATGTCAACTAACAATTGTTCGTATAAATATAGCATTTACTTGACAATTATCACAGTATTCATTTGGCCCTAAATCCAGTTATTGCAAACATTTTGCTTGGAACTCTCTGAATTTGTGTTCCTGGTGTTATAAGCTTTCCAAAAATGTATAGTTTGCTTAGTGGGGGGGGGGGGGCTTGTAGCGGAATTGTGCTTCTAAGCAAGCTAGAAATTTTAGCTGCAGGGCTAATAGTCAATTCCGTACAAATTCGTGTATTCAATTAAAAGAAAAGTAAAATTAGTGTTTTATAAGATTTCGGACACTTTATTTTGCCAGCTATATGAAATAAAGCAAGGTTATTCGCTGACGATACTGCAATAGGGTGTAACAAAATCTGTATAAATCACATAGAGCGTTCATTGAAAAACGACCTTTCTAATTTACATGATTGGTCCAAAGCTTGGCTTATAAAATTTAACCCTCTAAAAACTAATGTTGTAAACTTTTTTCCAAAATGCCATAAACAGTCACCTAAATTAGTTTTTGGAAATCAAGTCTTATCAAGTGTTGATCACCATAAACACCTTGGTGTGCGTTATCTGGCGACTGCAAGTGGTCTGAACACATCGATCGCATATGCAATGAAAATGAAAATTTAGATATTCAATTGATAGAAAATCCCTAGATATTATATATAAAACTCATATTAGATCACTTTTAGAATATGCTTGCGAAGTTTGGGATGGGTGTAACATTATCGATTCTGATATACTAGAAAAGATTCAGTTAGAAGCAGCTAGAATTGTGACCGGTCTTCCTAAATACGCAAGCAGGGAGTCATTATATTATGAAACAGGTTGGACCAAATTATCAGAGCGTCGTGTTATTCGCCGACTCTCGCTCTTTCATGACATTTTAAACAATAGTCGCCGTCATATTTAGTTGACATACTGGCCAATCTTAATGTAACAAGGCACAATCATAACTTAAGAAATAATCAAAACATCTCTATTCCATTTTGTAAGACCGCACAGTACAAAAAATCATGTTTTCCTTCTGCTATAGCTGATTGGAATTCATTGGACACAACTTTAAGAAAAGTCAATGACTCAAAATAATTTAGATCAACCTTAAAAAGAAATACAAAAATAATCATTCATTTCCTAACTATTATATTTTTGGAAATCGCTTTGAAAATAACATCCACACTAGATTACGTCATGGATGCAGTGTGTTAAATTATGATCTATATAGGGTAAAATTAACTCTGAGTCCAAAATGTGAATGTGGCTGACACGACGAAAATGCCGAACATTACTTCTTTAAGTGCAAGCGCCTTTCCTTTAACAGGACTACACTATTAAATTCCCTAACTAACTTCAAAATCACTTTCGTGTCCATGTTACTATGGGGTGACGTGGATCTGCCCGAAGAAAAGAATACTTATATATTTTCTCAAGTTCATACTTATATACCATCATCTAAACGATATGTATATAGTAGTTCCTGCGCACTCTTTGAATGTATGTTGTGTTTTATGTTGTA